GCTCACCCAACCCCCGCCACCGCAGAGGTACTGCCACCACAAGGATTCGGCTGAGCAACTTCCCCTTGACCTCAGCTATTTCCTCTTGGAGGAAACCTTGGATTTTACTTCATTTTCTAGGACATACAAGCGCACTGTGACCCTGGGGGAAACCCCACAGGGACGTGTACGGCCAGGCAGCTCTGGGCTAAGGCTGCCGAGCACCCTCCTCCAGCAACGAGGGCCGTTTGCAGACGCCGCTGCCTCTTGCCCCGAGACCCCGCAGAGAAAGGTGGGCACAAGCTGGGGCTCCCAGCGCTCTCATCTCCATCTCCGGGCTGCAAAACGTCATTACCACAGGGATCACCCCCTGGCCATCCATCACTTGGGAGTGGGCAAAGGAGGGACTGGTACAAAAATCCGTTTGCTCTGTCTACTAATGAGAGGATTACTGCAGACCAGTGCCTGAGCATCATTAATCGGTGGAAAAGCCGCACAGACACCTAGCAGCTCTCCTCCTGTGCTCTGCTTGCCTGCTTCATTCTGCTACAAGGACCAGTCCTCGTTATTTGGCACTGGGTATTAATTACCGCCCGCCCCGGGGGTGTCAGCGCAGGAGTACATCACCTCCCCGTGCCTCCTACACAGCAGGTGCCCAGGGGATGCTCTGCCCAGCAAGGAGCTCCACACGCTCGCTTGGAGAGATCTTCAGGACCTAAGCCTCCACCACAGGCAGCTGACCCAGGCTGTAATGGCTGAAGCCCTCGTTAGGGAGAAGATGAGCTCTGCTACGGCGAGCTGAGCTCTCTTAGAGTGAAGAATCTTCCGCTGTATACAGTAGATTTTCTTTAATGGACACATTACTTTAAACTAAGCCTTCGCCATCTGTTCCAGTCCCTAATTATCAATACAAAAACAAACGTCTACTCACAATTACACTCGTAACGAGTAAAGATGCCAGCAATTAGAATGCACCAGCATCCTCGGCGCCCGAGCAGCGCATCCATCTGCGATGGCACTCGCGCGATCCAGGCAGGGAGGACTCGCTGCCGTCCCAGGCTCCCCGCACCCTCCCAGGCAAACCCGCGAGAGATGTGGCCAGAGCCGATGCCCGCGGCGGGGCAAGCTGCGTCTCAGAGGAGCCAAGGGTGGGCTGCCATCATTCAAGCAGCAGGAGGAAAACAAGATTTAGGGTGAAAGCAGCCAGGTGTGGGGCACAGCAGCGGGGAGCCTTCATTTCACACCAGCTGATACTGCCTTGCCAACAACCCTTCATGACGAGGATTTAAGACTCTTCCAGGAAAACCTTTCTGAACCAGCCTAAAACGAAGCTGAGCTTATTTCCCAAAACCCCCACCCTGAAACCCACATTTCAGACCTCCCCAGCGTGGAGGGCTCCTGCCGAGTCCCACCACGAGAAGGTGTGACCTCTCACCAGCAAGGAGCGGGGTCTGGCTACGGGCAGAGCACGATGCAGGCAAGGAGGCCAGCCCAACCTGATCGTGTTTTGACGTTGCCATCTGGAAAGAAAGAGCTACAACGACAAATTTTCTGCTCAGGGAGGCCACAAAGAAACTTCCATGAGTGTTGCACTCCTCGACAGATGCCTCAGGGATATGGTCCCTTTCCCAAAGCAAGACACAGCAGCTCTCACTCCTGCAAGAAGGTAACGGCAGGAACCAGCCTAAGGCACTCGAAAGAAAATGGCTGGGCATATGCAAAGAGACGCAGGCATGTCTAAGACGACCGAGAGGAAAAAGATAGAAATTAAGCAAAATAAGGAGAGAAGAGGCTTGATAACAACAGATGGGTAGAAGGAGATTTGGAAAGGATGCCAGCTGCTGGAAATAAGCCCCCCGAGATGCGTGGGGAGCGGCGAGGCACGTGTCGATCGCCGAACCTTCGGAGGGAAAGGGGAGATGGGAGGGCAGGATTCGAGCGAGGGGCAGGGCACGCGTGGCCGTGAGGGGCTCGGGTCCGCAGGGGCAGGGGATGCTCCGCGGGTGGAATCCCCGGAGACTCAACTCGACGTGCCCGCACAGAGCACGCTGATGGGGTCAGTGCATGGTCCAGCCCCAGGGCACATCCCCAGGCCCATAGCATGACTTTCTGCAGAGGAACTAACGCAAGACTTCTTTTTTCATAAGCAAATCACCATATTTTCCCCTCTATTTCATGCTCCTAAATGCTGAGCTTTCTTTCTACTCCCTCTTTCTCTCCCAAGAGCTTCAGAAAAATCAGCCCAAGGCAAATGCACAGCTTGGGAAGCTTCTGTCCAAGTTTGGTGACATTACCAGAGAAACGGAACAATAGAGAAACAGAGCCAAGACGCTTCATTACACAGACTGGTGCTAAATAACACTAGCTGCTACGATGCCGCAAGCTCTGCCTTCCCGCGGTTGTCGTGACTTCAAGCCGAGCCCAGATTGCATCATGGCTTTCATCACCGCTACCTCCACGCTTCTCAATGTCAATGGAAAGCAAGTCCCACAGGTGCCAGGGGAATAATTTGAATTGAATTCTCACTATTCCCCGTAGACAAAGGGGTCCAAGCTCATACCAGGAGGTTGCCTGAGTAACTCCAAGTTGCTCTCCATAACCACACTTCCTACCACAGCATCCCACGGACATGACCCAGGTTTGCCCATGCAAGGTACATCCTGAGCTTCGGACTAAGCTGGCAAAAAGTGAGAACACAAGATCCGTGCGGCTCTGCCGCAGGGACCGAGGCGGTGAGCTGCCGGACACGCATCCCACCCAAAAAGTCTCTTCTGCGGGACTCCCCCCGGCCCGGTTCCTGCTCCTAACTGGGAGGGAGCGCCGCTGCTCGCCCC